TAATAAATAATAATAATTAAAAAAAGACCTTTCAGAGAGTCAGACAGTCACCAGTTTCAAGGAGCTGGGGCTTTAAGAAAAAAAAAGCAGGTATTATGAGGCTGACCATAAAATCACAAGAGTTGGCAGGCTGACCAACAACACATATTTAAACTAATAAATGATTGATTGTCCTGAGAATTGTATAGTATTGTTTCCTCTGCTGTTCGTCTCTTTTGTCAGCCTCTATGTTGAACCCAATTAAGATTCTTCTATTCTGACAGTCATTGTTGTTCCCACTCTGTGTACATCTTGTATTCTGCCTTTTCCACGTGAAAGAAAGAGGGGGAAAAAAAAGCTTCACTGGGTTTTAATTTCGGATTGCATGCTCTACTTCATCCTGTGGCATCTGTGCAGATGCTTGTTTGCCTGCTGCGTCCGGCGGCCCGGGGTGAGGGGGGTGCTGGGTCCCTCCTGGGCTGGGGGGACCGCCTGTTGTCTCACCCCTGGAAATGGGGTGACACTGTCTGAGAGGATGCAGAACACTGCAAAGACCTCTGTGTTTGTTCAGCTCCCTTGCTCCCACAAGAGAAAGAAGAAGCTTTTGAGGGAGCACCCAGTCCATAGCACTCAGTGTGTTGAATGCTCTCTGTGGCGCAGGAGTGATGCCTCGCTCCCTGGCAGCTGGCGACCCAGGCCCACAGCTCCATGTTATCCCACAGGGTTGCACACTCAATAAAAACACTTAAAAATGTGCCCAATTTTCCTGGTTTGTGCCATCAGTCAGACAAAGCACTGTGGCTGTTCTGGCTGTGCTGCCCTGCATCTCTACTGAGGGTTTCTACAGGGAAAAGAGGAAAGCTGAGGTTTTGCCCATGGCAGAAATAACTGGTAAAGTTCCCAGCTAGCTGTGCCATCCATTAAAGCTTTCAGCTTGGCAATCAGTGCCCTTACAAGCACCAACATTTCCAGTTCACAAGGGTGTGATACACACAGTTCTCCCCTCTATCCCCACACCCCACCTCTTCCTGATTTAGGTCTTTCCTTATTAAAGACCTGGCAAAAGCTTGTTGAAGGTAATGGAAGTTTTTCCTCAAGCTCATGTCCCCGCCACTGAGTCCAGCTCCCAGGGTGCAGAGTTAACGTACCCAAGGAAAATATCTCCCACAGCAAGACCCCGTAGGACCACACGTCGCTCTTTGTATTGTAGATTTTATCAAATATGGATTCTGGAGCCATCCACTTGAGAGGAAGTCGGGCCTGGAGTAAAAGCGACAAACCTGACTATTATTTTCAAAGCCTAAAAGAATTTAATCGTAGGTGAATCAACTATATATTGTTATGTAAATAATTACCATTCAAACAGGAACCTGTGGGATTTCCTTACAGGCAGTCAAGATAAACCCACACTCATTCAGATACTTTCTTAACAAATTGTCAGAGTAAAAAACTGTTTTTAAAATACATGTGGCATAAAACACCAGAAACTGGAAATCAGTGACCAGAGTGACCAAGCCTTTTCTTTATGGGGATGTGGGGATATGCAAGAACAGAGGTCTCTTGCCAGCATCCTAGAGACGGGGGAGAAAACCTGGTGTCCAACTGCTAATCATTCTGTGATGATGTCAGAGATGTTCTCAGGGAAAATTTCAGAGCCTGAATTGCAGGAGTGCGTCAGCAACCCTTGAAGCCTCTAATTGCAGTCTGTTGATGCCTCCTGAGCAGTACCCAAGTTAGGCAAATAACACTTCACAGCTAATGTGTAGTGCTGCAAGTCTTGAAAGCTATTTATGGATGATGGAATAGCTGGCAGGTGGGTGAGACATCCAGAAGGAGTCTCTCTGCATGACCCCAATGCCCACATCAAATTCCCACGGCATGAGTGGGCGCAGGCACAGTTTGCAGACCCAGCCTTCACGGCAGCCCTGGCAGGAGGCTTACTGCCTGTTGTTTGCAGCAGAAGCAAAAAAAAACCCCACTCGTGTAGGTGCTGGAGGCAGCGAGTCCAGCTCAACTGCTTGAGGCATCATGGGTGGTGCTTGGCTCTGGTGTGGGTGCACAGGGGGACAGGCACCTTGTTTTGGAGGGACTGGTTCCCTTGAAGGAAGTTTACTAACTAAGGGGGTTATGGTGAGCCAGCCTAAAACCATGTCTTAAAAAATATCTAAAGTATTAACAGGGCAGAGCTGTGAAACCCTTAGCATGTTCAAGCCTTATGCCTGAGGGTAGAAATGCTTTCCAGATCTACAATGCATCTGGAGAGCTCATCGTCACATAAAAACCGCGGTAGCTTTCAAGCTTTTTTAAGTTTAGGAAATGCGAATGTCTACAGAACATTTTGGTGGACAGTTTGAAATGATACGTTATAAACATTTGGGTCAATAAACAGCATCTTGACTTACATCTCCTTTTCTCACATAATCAGGATTCTTATAAATATCCCTTGCGAGGCCAAAATCACAGATCTTCACGACATTGTTCTCAGATAAAAGGATGTTTCTGGCTGCCAGGTCACGATGAATGCACTATAATAAAACAGTTTCACAATCAGACTGCATTTCCTTAATCCTGCCTGCAAATTTCCTGACTGTCTCCCATATCCTTTTTAAAATTATTATTATTATTTGAGAGATCAATTTAGTATTTTTTTAGGGAAGTTGACTATAGTTTACATGAAGTTACTGTAAACAGTGGCAATACTTTAAAAAATTCTAAACTTCCTAAATCCAGAAAGTGATTAAATTTTTAAGGCTCTTGACATTTGCATGGAAAGCAGTGATTCATTTGGAGCTCCCTACCTAATATATGTTGAAATGAAGAAAAAAACCCCACCACACCCAAAATATCTTCCCTGAATGAATGAGCTTGACCCACTGCCTTCAGCCATGATCCTGTGTTTATGGACTGCGGAGACTTGGATAAACACACCGTTATATTTATATCGCCAAGAGGAAAATGTGTCTTCCTTTGGGAGCTCTCCCAAGGAAGATGTCACTAAAACATAGATGTGAGTTCACCTCTGGATTCCATCCTTCTGCAGGGAAAAATTCCCAGTGCAAAATTCACCTTTCTGGAGGAGAGGAACTCCATGCCTCTGGCCACCTGAAAGCTGTAGGAGATCAGGTCCTCCATAGTGAGGGGCAACTTGTAGAGCTCACCTGCATCTGCAAAGGTCGGAAACATGGTTTGTTACAAAGACCGCTCACAAGGCAGTTATTTCTGACCCCTGTTTACTGACCCTATTACTCCCACAAAGTCAATCTTCATAGAGTAGTATTCGAAGGTCAACCTACTGTCACTGAAAACAAAAATAGTGCTTGCTTTATACCCCTCGCTTTGGACACTGCTGTGTTTTCCCCAAAGATAAGGAGCAGTCAGAAGAAACAATCACACATTTTCCTGTCAGATTTAGTAACCCTGGAAATAATCTTTTTTTAAATCTTCTACCCTCTGGACATGACCCTGTGAGTGTCTCCCACGGATGTTTATTAGGGTGATAAATGAGGAAAAAAATTTCAGGGATGCACAGTATGTTGTAAAAATATCACAGACCGAGTAGGGACAGGAAGGAATTAATACCTACCCTCCTCGTCCTCCTCCGCATCACTCAGACTTTTATCTTCCTGGAACCCAGAGCTTGCGAAGCTCTCGCTGCTGGTGACACTAGCCAGTCTTTGTTTTTTGCCTTCCACCGGCTCAATATCCTTTTTCTCATTCATTGGGTCTCCTTGCAGAGAGGAGTCCTTTAAACGAACAGAGGAGAAGAGGTGCTACATCAGAGCAACAGAGGGGGTGGGAGAGGAACTGAATCAGACTCCTGTCGCCTTCCCCTGGGAGAAAATGCTGGTCCATGGCACATGCGGTCACGTCTCCTACATGTGCAGGTGTCCAGCACCACCATGGCAGGCGCGGTCCGGTGGTGGGGCTGCACTCCACCAAGGTTGCCATCCCCAGAGGAAAGAAATGCGGTGGCTTGGGAGTACCAGCACACGATTTTGGGGTATCCTGGCTGGTGGGCTACCTCTGATGAGGTGAGGATTTGGGGTCCATGGATGGACATATCCACTGGCCTGTGGCTCATCTCAGCCTGAAATGAGACATCTGAAAGGGTCTCTTTCTCTCTAGTAGCCAGAGAAGGAGCCTGGTGGCATGAGTTGAGAAGGATGTGCCCACAGTTGCTCTGTGGTATCCCAGCCTTCTCAACCTAAAGCGTCAGCTTTTTGTTCCAGGCTGCTTAAGGCACCTGCCTCTACGTCCCTGCACAATGCTTGGTGTGGTGTTCTAAGCCCTTCCAATAAGGAGCAAGGGCACTTTGTGTTTGAAATACAGCTGCTGTTGGAAGTGAATTATGGCCAATGATGGTTTAATGGGACACACACTACACTTTGGAAAATGCTTTCCGACTACTACCCAGAGAGCAGCGCAACTGCCTGGCCATGCTCTTGGCCCCTGTTCCCTTTCCTCTGGTCTTGTGGCCTCCTCTCTTCCCTGCACACACTGCTGCAGAGCTGGGCTCCCTCCCTCCCTCCCTCCCTCCTGCCCAGGTGCCCTTCCCAAGGGTGCCAGAGCACAGAGTCCAGGCAAGCTCCTCACAGAGGGGGAGATGCCAGTGACTCCCCTCAGGGTGGACCCCACATGGCCACGCTCCCTGATAAGCATCCTATGCCAACAGCTGCATGTTGGAGGAGGCAGCTGCTGTGTCTCATGCAGAGTCCAACATGGACAGCCTTGGGAACAAAGACTCAGCCAAAGCCCTTTGGAGGGGAATGTCCTCCTGAATCTACCCTCCCCCACAGCCCTCCCAAAAAACCCCAGAGATGCTGCTGAGCTTTTGGCACCGCTGAGCAAGGGTTTTTAGGACTGTTGTTCTGGGTCCAGGCTCCTAAATCCCACTTCAGAGCCCTTAATCCTTTAGGGGATTTTGCTGGAAGTGCACAAGCAGGGATATAGTTGGCACATTTGGGTTCAGGTTTGTGATAAGAAACACGTGTGTATTTGATTCAGGGGGCTGTGAGATGTGAGGACAAGACTCTAATCTCTTTTCCTCTTGATAGCCCTTCTCTTCACACAGTAATAAGATTACTTGCAAATCTCTGAATATTAGGGTGTCTTGGAACATGAGCTTTAAATGGCATTATCTTGGTTGTGTTCCCAGTGGTACTGAAATCAGTGGGCAAAACCACTTCCTTCGGCTTCGCTGACACCAGTCTCTGAAGTGACTGAATGGGTTCATCAGCAGCAGGGTGAGAGCGTGTGGGGACAGTTTGATAGGATTCACTTCCTCTTGCTGTAGATGACTCTATCCAAATCACTCACAGCATTCCCCTTCCATAGTCAGGGGAGAGAAATGAGTCCTTTCTTGGAACAACACATCCCACACCAAATATTAAAACAGGTCAAGTGAACCGCATCCAAAAGCTGTTTCTCTCCTTTGGTAGAAGACAGCTCAGAGGCTGACATCTACATTAGTGACATTTAGGTTAGGTAAGATGAACCCTACCAGAGGCATCTGCCTCCTCACCTTGTTAGGGCAGAAAAAATTCCTCTTGCTCTTCAGGTAGTTTGATAAATTCCCATATTTGCAGTATTCAACAATCACCATCAGAGGCCCTGGGCAAAAGGAAAGTGCATTTTGAGTAAAGCAATACAAGGCAGCATCAGTTCTGAGAAGAATAGTCTTTCACACCCATAGATATAACTTGAGTCCAGAATAACCAACAACATGTCCTAATGAAGTGGAAGGCTGCTTGAAGGACACCAAACATGTTAGCAAAACAATACTGTTTCTGGAAATTAGGGAAGGGCCTAATTTTTGAAAGCTGGGTCCTGAGGGACCCTCCTTTTCCTCTTTGGGCAGTCTGTGTCCAGACTGGAGTCCTGCAGCCCACACACACTTGTTGAACTAAAATAGGTGACATAACAAACGATCACTCATACTGGCCCTTTGATTTTCTTAGTGGAATATCATGAAGGATTTTACAAGAGTTGCCTTGTGATTAGTTGCTCAGGGCCAGCAGCTGATACCCCTTGTTCCCAGCCTTTCCAGATCATGTTTAATTTGAGCTTGAGCAGTCAAGTGAGTGAGATAAAGGACAACAAGTGGCATGGTCCTAGATTCACACTTCTCACGTAAACACTAAAAGAGAGTTTAAGTAGAGAAAATATTTAATCACTTCATTAAATGACTAAAAATCTCTTTTTATCATCCTCTGTTTTTCACCAACCACAGGATGAGCTCAAATATTTCAAGTTAACAACTTGACCTCTGGATGAAAAAGAACACGGCCAATTATTTGTTATTGGGAGGTGATCCAAACCCATTTTCAGTGTAGTGAGGATTTTTTTACCTCCATTTTTTGTACAAGCTCCCAGCAAATTCACAATATTGAGATGATGACCAATGTGGATCAGGATTTTCAGCTCAGTCATCAGTGCTTTGTACTCGCTTGCTGTGGCCCCTTCTGTAAATGCAAAATAAAGTCAATATGAAATAGCAAAGAACTGGTCTTGCTGAGCTTTACTGCTTCTCGTTATTTTCCACTGAAATAACCTCCATTACTGGATGTACTTCATGTGTTGATCTTTGTCTATTCCTCCCTGCTCAGCATCCTCTTATTCGCAATAAAACCCATAACAAGTGTCAGGCACTCAGCTTCCTCCCAGAAGACTCTTATATATTTAGAACAGAGAGCAATTTTTTTCACATGAATAGTTTTGTCGCTTCAGCCAAGAAATGAAAGAACAAATAAAAAGGGATTTCAAGACTATTATTAACTCTATCTAGAGTAGGTTTCAGCTGACCTGACTTCAGCTGCCTAAGGGTCATGTACTAGCCTGAACTAATCAACATCTCGAGAAGTCAGTGGCGAGAGCAAAGCATTTCCAGAGGCTAATGCAGCCATCCGCTTTAGCCATAATGAACCACTCCTTGGTGATGCTTGCCTGGTTCTGTTCATTATTTCATCATTCTAGGAAGCCTGGAGTATTAAGATAGACCAGGGAAGTGAATTTTAACTGGTTAAAGTTAGGTAACTGCATCTCACCCTTACTAGCTATGATCAATATTAATAATAGTAGTAATAGTGATGATATAAGAAATATCACAATTAAACCCAAAAGATTCTGTTTAGTGTTGAGTGAAACTTTTAATTCCCTCTGAGTATTTTTTTTTCTGCAGAATTTTATTTTGGTAAAAAAGCAAAAAAACCCCATATTGCTTTGTGTAGATCCAAAAGGACTTTTTCAGTTTAGTGACACCAAGAGTAGGAAGAACTGTTCAGGAGAAAGAATCTGGATCTAGGTCTTAAAGGGCTTGGTTTCAGCATCTGAATGGAAACATGTTTTCTTGCTGGGCCCACACAAAACTTGCCATCTACCCAGTGACCACTATTCATTTGTCTAGATGGTGACACTTTCCCTCCACTTCGTGGGAAATCTGTGAGCACAAAGCCCATCAATGACTGCAAAGTTCCTGGATAATCTGGTTGAGGACACAAGGAATGGGACAGATCTTCCCTAGCTTTAGCTGCCCATAGTGAAGATACCTACAGAGGATCTAATCACCACAGGCTCTCTTCACAGTCAGCAGAGCTAAACCACAACTCAGCTCACCGTGTTCAGGGATCTGCGTTGGGATGGGATGAACTGTTGTTTCTCACCACTGAGAATAATGGGAATTTGAGTGACTAACTCAGGTACAAGATCTACCCTGCACACATACACATGAATCCCATCATGAAGTCTTCTTGTAGCTGTCATCTGTTCCCATCTATTCCACGAGCAACCCCTGCTGCCCTGATGGTGCTGGTTGGCACAATAAGCCTGCTGATGTACATAAGAAATGTGGAATCTGGCAGACCACATTGCCAGCACTGCCACATGTCTGCATTTTGGCAAAACAGCTCAGTTAATGAGGGTCAGGTAGTGACCCAGGTGACAGGCCATCCACTGAAACCACTGACACAGATGGCTATTGTCCCACTGCTGCAGAAGGTCTGGCCAGGAACCAAAGCTTTAGTTTCCTCCCATTTTCCAGACTGGCTTACTGCATGGTAGCTGGTTCATTTGACATTGACCAGCAGGGTGTTTCTGTGCTTCTGGAATGAGAGGAGAAAGGTTTGCAACCCTCTTGGCTGCAAATTCTCTCCTTGGTGATGATCTTGGGTATCGCAGCAGCACATACCACCCCCTGTGAAAGCATTTGACTTGATATTATAGAACAAGCCTGTTGAGGACAGTACCGAGAGGGCACACCCTACACAGAGTACAGCTGCCAGGTCACTTCTGGCAAGAAAGAGAAATTATTTCAGGGTGAGTGCTGCAGGGACAGACTGTAGGTCAGAGTATCACACATGCCCCTCCAAGGGCTGAAAGTAACATGTTCAGATCTCATAACTGGTAAATGAGCAACTGTGAAGCTAGAAGCCAGTGGGTATGAGGGCTGTATTTAAACTCTGCCTGAACAGAACCAACTGAGAGCATCAGGGATCCAAGCTTTACTGGCAGAACAGGGGATATGTCCTGGCAGAGAATGACACTGAAAGGATTCAGGGATTAAGACAGATAAACAATGCATCATAAGCTCCCAGGGCAATGCAAAAAAAGCCTATTATGATCCTTAGATATATAAACAAGGGAAAGCTAAATACATAGGAAGGGATGCCACCAGGACTTTGGGTTAGGGAATTCAGTTACAGCTGCTGCAGGCTATGACTTAGTATCATCCTGCCTGCTAACTTCTTCAAACTGATGAGGTCCTTTTTCCTTTCTGCTCCAATGAGAAAAGTGGCAGTGAATAGCTGGGAGATGATTTTACTTTGGGAAGAGTGCTGGTGTATGAAGAGTGCTGGCAAATCCATTACACAACCTGGGTGTCAGCATCCTAAGCACTGTGTGAAGGAGGCTGTAAACGGTTCAGAGACGTCCCACTTGCATAACAACTCCAAGATTTAAACAACTCAATCTGTTTAGTTTAGTAAAAGGGCCTTCATGAAGAAAAATCGTTATATAATCCAATGGAGAAGATTAGAGTGAGATGCAAAAGTCAGACAGATGCAGATTAATCGTAAGCCATCTGCTTTTTAACAATTGAGTGACCATTGGAACCAACGACCAAGGAAAATAGAAAAGCTTCCGTCTGAGTGTCTCCATACCAAGGTGGATGCCTCATGCTTCAGCTAAATTTAATTTACAGTGTTCAGTGCAGGGTCAGTCTAGCATAATGTTACAACGTAGGGCACACAGGAAATCTAAATGCTCCTTCTGATCCTACAAAAGTGACCCTTGCATTCTTTCTGGCATTTGAAGTAGTGGAACCAGATTTTTTTTAAAAAATTAGGCAATCAGATTCTCACTGCAACTGAAACTTTCTCCTATATCATGTAACAATTTATCACCCTTCTTACTGTCAATACAATTTTTATTTCATAGTTCTGCCATTTCACTTATGATGGGCCTGAAACTTGGGGTACACGCTTTGGAAGCTTCAGAAAGTTGTTGGTGTGGGGATGACATCACACCCTCTTGCTTTCAACAGAATCATATTAAAAGTGGGACACTACATAAGGCAACATTTTTTTCCAGCCCAGCTTTTCACCAAGATACCTTTCAGCATTTTCACAGCAACTATTCTGCATGTTGGCGATTTCTTAATTCCAAAAGCAGATGCTTGCACCACTTTTCCAAAAGCTCCATGTCCAAGAGACTTTCCTGTAAAGAAAATAAATTGGAGGTACATTCTGTTAAAAAATAAATCTTGCCAGCAAATATGTTCTTTACAATGAGTCCCATGTGTACATTCCCAACATATAGGTGGTTTAGGTTTTTTTATTTGTTTGTTTGGGTTTTTTTAAGAGTAAGCAGACAAACCAGAAGACAGTGTAATAGAAGGGAATAAGTGACATGATTGAAAATGATGCTAAATGAATGCAACCAGTCAGTGGAGGTACACTGGCTTCTAACCCATTTTTTTTTAGTTTAGCTCTGCCAGAGAAGGGTTTGCTTCTCTCTTCCCTGAGTGCACTGCACCATGCAGCAGGCTGTGACACTGCTAGTTATGTCCTCAATAACCAGGCCTCTGCCTAAACTTGCATACACACTTAAAAGATGCAACTTGCCATAGAATTTGTTAATTTTTACAAATTAAATACTTCTTTCTCAAACAAGGTGCTTTAAAATTATCTTCATTCCAGGGAGGCAGCAGCAACTTTGCATTGCAACTCATGAAGTACATGCACAACCCCCTGATGCTCTTCCCTAGCAAGCCCTTGTAGTTTGAGATCCTGGAGTGGTGAGAAGCTGCAAATCCGTGCAAATGCATGAGACCTTTATATTTGCAAAAGGAGGTCTGGGGAGGTTCAGCGAGAGGGGACTTGGAGTGACAAATAATGGGTTTGCTCATGGTGGGTATGACGCTCCCAGGTGCCCAAGGGCAGACATGTGCGCTGTATCATAATCATGCTGCTACTGAGCAGACCCCAGAAGCACCCAGAGATCCTTGAGATAAATCAACGGGCATTAATAAAATTCTCCAGTAGTAGAAACTGAGTGTCCTCTTCCTTCATGTTCAGAACGAGGAAGGACTCCAAGGTTACTGTGGTAACTTGCCTAGAGTACATGACATTTTATGCCAATCTTATGATCTTCACAACCTTTTTAATGATTTATTATTAGTGTGTGAAGCAGGGAGTGCTGACTATCTCTTCGACACTGTGCTCACATGGACAGGCCTGGCTGCCTCTGACCTTCTCAAGTGGCTGGTGGAGTTTTCATCAGAGAGATCTTATCAGCGTATCAACTAGCAACAAATTTTATTTCCAAGTAACTCTTTTCAGATTGTATTTGTGCTTCACCTTCAGCACAACTCAGGCACCTAAGTGGTTAGCAAGAGTATAGCAGTAGGCTTTGTGGTTTAGAGGCAAAGAGCAGAAAATAAAGGCCAGCTTTTTGTATAAAAGCAAACGATAACATGCCACATATTTATTTCTCAGATATGCACACATGTGACATAGCCATATCCGTAGGACAATTTCAATTTCCTACGGTGGACATTTGTTTGACTAGCTCTCACTTGAACATCTGCCTTGTTGATGTCTAAGTGAGAGGTGAATCCCACCCAGACACTTGCAACCAGAGAAAAAGAGCTGCTGTCAGTTCTAAATTAGATGCTAGCTTTTATATGTGTATCACATTTCTAAACTGTTAATTCTCAGTATGTCTGTCAGTAGAAGCAAATAGTATATGTTATGAAAGCAATGGAAACTTGAAGTGGAATATGCTAAGCTAAAAAAAAACCCCAGAAATTTATTTTCCCCCTCGATGTGCATAAGTGTTGCATTTTTTTTAGCAATAAAAACCATTAGGAACTTAATCTATATGGCTGAAAAGCATCAAGTCTTGGTAAGTGAAGGACTTGGAGTTTGACACACAAATATAGGTGAATCAGTGTGTATCTTTGAAAATCTACAGTCACCTTTTTCAGTTACTGCATATAGCAGGGAAGGAACATTAAGACTAAGGTCTCAGTTTTCTTGGTGAGTTGATATTCTTAGTCCTTAATGGACTGTTCATGGTTTCCACAAGATGAAGTTGCAGTCTGAGGTCCTATAAAACCCATTGCACCTTTGTTTAATCCATAGCTTTAATCTGCTTCCATCACTGTTAACTCACTTCCCATATTGAGATAACCTACTTAGTCACCACTTGGAAAACATACCGGTTAGCTCACAGAGCTACACAAAGCTGCTAACCTTTCATAAAGGAGAATGAGCACTGGAAACAACACTTCCTTCTCTAAACGATTGTGATTTAATGGGAAACTGTAATAACACTTGATGTATTAGTCCTTGTTGCTTCGCTATTGTTTGTACCATGCTCAATGTTAGTGCAGAGTAGGGCTGCTCTGTTTTCTGTGTATAGATCAAACTTCACAGTTTAGTATGTAGATTGTGTCTAAGAGATTGCTCTTGCAAAAGCCCCTTACGTTGACACACAAAGTAATTACAAAATTATTAAATGGAGCAATTAAACAGAGGAATATTAAGATGCCCAACCCTCTGACCAGTCAACTTCTTGTAGCCCTCAAGCAGCTACACTGGCCATGTCTGGTATAACGCTCAGGTATAAAATGTTGCAGCATTTACACCCAGACCAAGGAAGCAAAATGCTCTCTTTACTTAAACTTCCTGCACTTGACTTCGGTTTCCTGGGGCAATTCAGAACCCATTGAAGTGATCATACCCCTCAGTCAAGGAGTTTGGGGTCAGGAGGTTTCCATTTCAATCCCATTTTAGCAAGGTCCTTCGCCCATGTGAGTTGCTGAACTGGGGCATCAGCAAAAAACATTTGCTAGACACTGCTCTGAACATCTGTGGGAAGGCAGAAGCTCAAAGGTGTGATTGTTTCTCAGGTCCTTTGCCACAGTTTGAATCACCTGGGTTTTCCTCACATGCAGCTTCATATTTTCCATTATGTTATGTATGACAGCTCTGCATGTGAAGGAGAACAGAAAGGGCTGTGTTCAGTGCCAGCGTGGTGGGCTTGCCATGCACAGGAGGGAGCAGGGCTCAGGAAGCCATCTACCACCAGCATGTTTGACATAGCACTGTAACCATGTGGCAACACTCCTTTGGGGTCCTGCACCACAGCGTCAGCAGTGTGTGACCTCTTGTAGATTAGGAAGGTCAAGCCCAAGAGTAAGGTGAGAAATGCATGATAGCTCAACACTTACGCTGGACAGCAACGTTATCACCGACCACACTGACAGTGATTTATAGCACCAGCATTTTCCTGCCTAATGAAAAGATGACATTTTGCTCTCAGTCGGACTCATCTATACTGAATGTTAATTATCTTGACTTTGGTGGTGCCTGTGTGAAGTTTCCTGTAACGTCTGTAGCTCTCTCAGAGGAAGGGGGAGTCCTTTGCTGTTATATAAGCACTGCATCGCAGCTGTGGGCTGTATGTACGCGTGTTGGAGAAACACATAGCAAAGGAGATGTGGGCTGAAAGGAGTGACTTATTTGCAAAAGTTACAATAAATATGGATCCTGGAGGATAAGTAGGTGGAAAGAGACAAACAGACATATCTGATGCTGGAAGGGGTTGCATTTCTAAGTAAAAATATTTTTCAAAACCATAGAAGCACATTTTGTGTTTGTGAGACACTAATCCTCAGAGACTGCCAAGGTTACTCAAAGACTGAGACAACTGCCATGTAAGCAGGACTTGCACTGAGCTAATCTAGCATACTGCACATACCCAACTTCTCTGAATCTGGTTCTCATTCATTGTCAGCGTTCTTTATTTGTTTACACCAGCTCTTCCACTTTTAACTCATTCTCTGGTCATCATTCCTCACCTTCAGACTCCAAACACCAACGCTGCGAGACGTGGGCTTTTCCTTGGTGTTTACATTCCATTTCTGCTTGATTCTTTCCATGGGATTTACACACAAATAAAGCATCACATAAACCAGCAAACACATTGTCTACACATCAAGCTCTTGGTCAATCATTGTAAGAAAACTATTTGAAGACTGAAGATGCTCCAGCACTAGGTTGTGTTTCAGCATTCCCAGAATTGTGTATGACAATATAAATCTCTAGCAATATATTTAAGCTGTGCTTATCCACATCTGATTGCCTTATGACTTCTAGCAGGCGAATTAAGTGTGAACCTAATTGTATGCATGTTTTAATCACTCTCTGATCCCTGGAAGACAGAAGGAATCTGTTACAGCTCCTAGCTAAAATGCAGAGATTTTCTAGCCCTTGCTGTAGGACAAATCTAATGCATGGCTGAAAGAACAAACAGCACTATAGCAACAGGCTGAGCTTATCACTGATATTTTAATGTTGACCCTCTTGCTAAAATCTGTGTGGTTTCTGGAGGGATTCCTCAACTTCGAAATCTGATCCCTACCCTCCTGCCCTCCTCATCAGCCCCACTCTAGGCTAAGCAAGTAAGGAATGCTCCCAAACCCATGGCTTTCACTGTAGCATCTGTGGGCAAGCTAGATGGGAGTTCAAAGTTTCCGTAGATATTTATTTATTTATGTGTGGACTCACGTGCCACATTCTTGTACTTTATGGGGCACTGACAAGAATGTTCATAAATGTGCAGCACATAAGGAAAATAGGGAGAGTATGCTGGAGAGAAGAGGAAAGGGAGAAACAGAGAGGGGTACAGGGGTGCCCTGTTTTTATGTCATGTTTTAAGTAAATCAGTCTGCAAAAAATAGAGTGCAGCATTATTGTCTGTATTTTAGTTTTCCTACCTGGAGTCAAAATATACATATGGAAAGTCAGGTAGACACAGTTGGGCAGTCCTAAATGCTGTAAGTCAGTCATAGACCAGGGCACTTAGTATGGAATAGCTCACTTTGAACCTGGCAGTACGTTGTGCTGCATGTCTAAAACACACCCAGCTCCCCTTTACCTGTGCAAGTACATCTCATTCAATCACTGCAAACCCAAGTATGCCAATATTACCTAGTTTAAGCCTTTCTCTTGCAATCTCCCACTTGCTGGCATCATAAGGCAGACGTTCACATTGCTCATCTAAGGGGACTTCATCAGGATCCATTATGATTGACAGGTAATGGTTGGTCTTCATTTCAGAGGAATAAGGCTAGAAAACAAAGAATATGGCAAAATTTAAAAGAGGATAAGGGTATTTGTCATCATTTTGCCCTTTGGATCAAGGTTTTCAAGTAAATTTTGTCCATGGGGCTGCATGTTTCACAGTCTAATAGATGGTTTGGTCACGCTCCCTTTGGCTTTGTGAGACTTCTTATGTAAAAGAAACTCTGTCCTCTAGCTTTCCTTGTATGTGACATACCAGTTTCTTCAATGAAATCCATGTGGATCTGTATTAACATATGGTGTTATGATACAGGCCCTCTGCACAGTAAAGAGAAATATTTTCAACAAATGACTAAACATTGCTGATAAAAATAACTTTCCTTCATGATTGTGCAAAGCAAGAAGTGGTCATATGCAACAGATGGGTTTCAACTGCTAGTGTTTATTTTTTCCATACACCCAGCAAAGATAGGTCATATGTGGTTAGAAGTTGTGCAAGACTAGTCGTCAGGAGACTAGACATTATACATTTCAGAAACTGTTTACAAATTTTCAGAATTTTTTATTTCTTTGGTATAATTTCTGACAAATTTACTGAAAGTATCCGTGTTTGGAGGAATTCATAAACACCTAGATTAAAACACATAGTTTCAAATGAATTTGCCAGAAGTTCAGTTTCTAATGAGCAAATGCATTATCCACTTCACATGGGAAATATAAGGAAAGATGAACCTAATCTCAAAGTTATCTGCAGTCCATCCATTTGAAAAATATTTTCCTTCAAAGAGCCTTTAGCGTGCTACTCTAATCCACTGGACTTTTCTTGACGCAGGAATACTTATATTACTATAGAAAAAGTCTATTGTTTGCTCTGATTTCCTGGCTATTAGTTGGAATTTATGGAAAATCTGTTGAACTGAGCCCCTTCATGTTGCTTTTCCCGAACTCACGAAAACAGCACACAGGCACATACACAAACACACAGATATATCTACATCTTCTTTTGTTGTTGCCTTAACTGCCCCCTGTGACTTTCAACTTTTGTCCTCTAAAGCTTGGAAATACGTCCCTAATACATGCATTTCCAGGCATTTGTTTGAGAAGGATGTTACTAGCTGTGCATGCTTTGGTTACAAACATTAACTACACTAGCATGACAGTAGCTAATAGCTCCTGGTTTAGTTGTATTTCACCACCACAAGTATGCAGAAGGTTAGTCCCAAGGAGGATTACAATGATGCTTAGGGAAAAGTCAGGTGGCATAAAGCCTGGCTCCAAAGCATTCACTGACCTTGGACAGGACATGGATAAGTGGGATATGGATAGAAACAGAAGCATGTGTGGTGCTCCAAAAGGACCATTTCTTGTCAGAGACTTGTGCACCAGACTGCTCCTACCAGCCACTTTAGAAGACCTTTTAAGTGGACCCATCCCAGGAAGAGCTGTAGGGGAGTGGGAAGGTCCTGAGAGCTTCCTATATTTCTTTATTCAGAATAAAATACACTGAATACCGCATCTTTGGCACAATTAGAGATTTGAAACATTCTGAATTATGAGGAACTGTTAAGTATAGCATTTGTCCCTGCATACCTAACAGACAGGCTTCAAGAAAATGCACTCAGAAAGCACAAAAGTATTTTTTAAAATTTTGTGGCAAGGTAATTTGTATATGGAATTTAATTTAGAGCTAATTCCAGATATAAATCCTTGGGAACAGGGATTTATAGCAGAAACACAGAGAAGACCATGAACACAGACCAACACTAGCTGGAAAGCTTTATCTGGAAAGAAGCCTTCACATTTCATTGAGTTAAAGTCCCTTGTTCCACAGCAACAATTATTTTTTTTATTACCTTTTAATAATCTAATATGTGAATGTAAAGTTTTGGTATCATAACAACAACAACAAAAAAACCAATCTGCAACCCTTTGCTGCTTTTAAAACTTACATTTTTCCAAGGGTTTGCAGTCATGTTAAGAATTGCTTCATCATTACTGGTGAGCAGTGAGAACTGGTCTCACTTGGTTTGTAATTTCTTTTTAGCTACAAAGTTTCTCCACAGCTTCAGCTGACCTCAACTTTTCTCTCCCTAAAGCTCCTGTGCGTTTCTTCTCATGAAAGTTTGTGGCAGCAGGAGGGCAGGTAGAGTGACTGCTACCATATTGCCTAGGTTTGGAGGTCTGGTCCTGCATTCCATTGGTCAATAGAAGTTCTCAGTGTAAAACTTAACTTAAAATACAGGCAGATCTTAATGCAGGTTGAGATAAAATGGTCTGGTGGGCTGCAGTGAACCTTTAGCAACCATCACAGATCTCGACCAGCTGTAATATGCTCAGCCGTGGCAGTTGTGAGCAGGTTCCTGTGTCACCAGGCTGTGGTACCTCTCCAGCTGCGAGAAGGAGGGCAGCTGGGGCTCAGCGTCACTGTGGTGTGGCAGTGGGGAAGAGGGGGATGCGCAACCATTCCTCAACTCGTGTCCTGCAGTCCCCATTGCCCCAATACCTCCCTTCCCTCAAATCCATCTGCTCCTGCAAGTTGCTCTGAGATCTTTCTGCATTACCAAAGAACTGTATTTTCTGCTTACGAGAGCTGCTGTGGTTTAACCTGCACACACCATGCAAGGCAGACATGGTGCTGTCAACAATAAAGGGCTTTAAAGCGTCACGATCAGCCATGAACAAGAAGGGTCAGCTGCAGGGGCAGTTAATGTTATCATGCTGATACAGGATCACTTGCTCTAGAGGCTGCACCACCAGGACTGCTTCAGTAAAATATCACTTCACAAGTGATATAATTATACAAGACACCGTGTGCAAACCAGGCCCCAGTGCACTCTGTGAAGATCTGTCATTCCCACTCACTCAGATCTTCAAAGACATTAAGATGATAAACTCCCACAGCTTTTAAGTGAATGGGGATGCCTCTGGTGGGAGTCAGGCACACAAATACTTGTGAGACTCAGAGCTTTACCCCCACCCAGGCTTTACTTCTGGGCTTACTCATACTCAGCCTTCCGAGTCACGGTTCCCTGGGCACCCATCAGCAGTCTGGTGATTGCACAGGGAAGAAAGGTGAGCAGTAAATTAATCAGGTCTTTTTTTTTTTTGGTACACTCAGTAATCTACCAGTGGCTTGGGAGGGATTTTCTAAACACTAGCAAAGGACTGTTAAGGAGAGGCAGATGCCTTTGGGAGCTCCCCATCCGTTCTTACCCTCTTCAGCTTGCGAATGAAGAGGGTCAACAGGAGCCAAAAGAGTGTTGCAGCCACGCAGGTACAGGTCAGGGTTATTAGCTCCAGGTTTGACCTCTCTGATGTGCCTGGGAAAACAAGCAGCAATCATTTTAGAAAATGACCTGCAAAACAAGGGCACTTTATGTTTCTTTGCCATTAAAATAAAATACTAGGAAGGACCAACTTCTTTTCAATGGGGTATTAATCTCTGTTTGGACTGGCTCACAGAGCCTGGAAAAAAATGATCTCCTCAGCAAAGCCGTTGTATTGAACACAGCAAAATTGCATTTGATCCATCTGCAAGTTTTTCATCAAAGTCAGCATTTCTTTGGGGTGCAGGAGGTGAATTAAACCAGGTTGAGGATATCCAGACAGATAATAATTTCCTTTTGAGGTGGAAAGTCAGCTGCAGGGTATTTTTAGCCAAATTTTCTCTGTGTGAGAATGTGTGTGGTGTGCTCATGCAGTTTCACACACGCCCGTGACCCTCCAGCAGTGAAACCCATCTGGCCAAGCCTACATCCCAGGGAGGAGCAGAGGTGTCAGAAATGCTCAGTCTCCAGCAGCCTTGGGAGAGGATGGGGCTGCACAGAGGGGACAGCTCTGCTGGCCCTTCCCCAAGAGCAATGCCACAGTGCGAGAGCTGCTGCTGACATGCAGGAGAAGCTCCAGGGAGGGCCTGTGTTGGTGTGGACACTGGTGAATCCAGCAGTGCTGCTGCTTGGGTTTTGCTGTCCAGGATGTTTGATGTCTTTCTTTGGGCCCAGCTTGGCAAGCTCTTCCATGCTGATGGCTGAGCCCTGCAGCCTGCACCTCAATCTCAGCTGTGTTGGAAACCTGCCAGCTCTCCCCAAAAATGTCTCTGAGGGAGAGCTGGGGGCTCCCTTGGAGGCTCTTGGTGCAGCTGGCAGCAGTCCAGGAGCTCTCCTTCGCGTGGTCTGGATGGACCATGTCTGGCACCTGTGAGCTCAGCTTGTGAAAAGCATGGCACAGGGGTCTTGATCCTAATCCCCACCAAGCAGAGTGGCTAGGAACCTGGGGTGTAGGACCCAGTGCTCCCTTCAACCCACTGGTCTCCTGACAGGCTCTGTGCCCTCAGGTCTCCTGCCGGTCACATCAGCAGCATGAGGCCAGGCTCCCTGAGAGGACATGGGACCCTCTGCATAGGACCCTCTCCTCCATGGGACCCAGCAGCACCTTGCAGAACCCAGCAGGCAGGGGGCTGTGAGAACTCTCCAAACCAGGGAACAGATCAAGCACAAAAAGGGAAAACAAAAACAACAGTGACTGAAAATGAAGCAGCAAGAAAACATGAAATCTGGAGAGTATTAGAGCGCACTGACAGATCTTAAAAAAAAAAAGCCAAAATAAAATTCACTTCAGACTGCTACTTAAGGTCTCATAAAATGCTTTCAGCACAGTCTATTTTGCAAATCCTGTGATCGTGTCAAAATACCACACTTGCCACAATATGTTTTCCATCTGATTGGTAGCAAATGCAAAAACCCCCACCCCTTATGCTCGGCCTCTTATTCTGATACAACCTCCAGAGAGAGAAAATGAGAGGACAAGGGGGAGTAATTCTGAACATGATTTCACAATGGTTTTGTCAACTGCACTTGCAACAGTTTCAGACCCTGGGCAGCTCGGTGTTACTCCTGACACATGAAAAAGGGATGATTGATGTCTCACTGGTGGGTTTACTGGGTAATCCAGAGATGCCTGGATGTGCTGCCTGGTTTTAGGAAAGGCTACAGAGCTTTGTTCAGAGGTTGGATTCCTTCCTGCAGCTGTGGCTTAACTAGCATAATATCTTCCCTCTCTAAAGGTGATAATCAGATTTGCGTTTGTGCCCTATATTTAAGATTCCTTCAGCATGTCCATTCTGGAGCTTTGAGAATAAATCTCATTGAACAAAAACACGACTGCAACTATTTCTCCAAAATGCTCAGTCCTCATTTGTCAAAAGTATTTTTTAAAGGCTTGATTTAGATAGAGGTTATAATGACGGCATAAATGATACAGACCCATGCAGCTTGCCTATCCTCTGGCATCAGGCTTTCCTTTTACATATGGACACTCTCCTCTTGCTTCTGAACAGCACCTGTGCAGATGCTGAGGACTAGTTTCTAACATTTATTCACCAAAACCTGGAGGGGTTGAAGGTTCATTTGTTGCTGCTGTTCCATCTGGCAGGACTCAGAAAACCTGTGATGCATGATACAGCCAGTTCTGGGGTGAAAGGCAGCAACTTCTTAACCACTGCTGTAGTCATCCACTACTCTTCGCCCAGTAATTAGTGAAGAGCCATGAAGGTGCTGTCTTTGAAATGTCTGAGAGAATTTAGGCAGCCAGAAAACATTTCTCCAGGTTGGGGATGGCCTGGGTTATCAAATGCCAGACACCTAGTCCTGCTAAAAGCCTTGCAGCCAGAGCTGGCTGAGTACCTCTCAGCTGGGTAGGAAAAGGTTTGATTTGAGGCAGAACAGGCAGGAATG